TGGTGAGGAGATGTGTGGGGTTAAAGTGAAGGATAGGAGGAGTAGTACAGAGCTGATGTCAATGATGGGACTGAATGAGGACATTGTGACATTGATAAGGAGATCGAGATTGCGGTGGTATGGACATGTGTTGAGAAGGGATGAAAGGGTCGGGATTAGGCGAGCGTTGGAGTTCGAGGTTGAAGGAGTGGTAGGAAGGGGTCGTCCGCGATTGGGATGGAGAGAGCAGGTGGAGAAGGACAGGGTGAAAGCGGGGTTGCGTGATACTGAGGCGAGTGACAGATGTGGATGGCGTCGAGGGGTATTTCGGTTTCATCATAGGTAGCCAAACGGCAACCCCCGATCTCGGGGAAAATGCCGTCTAAACGTGTGTTGTTGTTGTTGTGTTGAGGTTGTTTCTTGATGGTGTACCACCAAAAATGGTGAAATGTCATCATTCATCTGTTGCCGATTCTTCATGTTTTTGTTCCACGTGTTCATTTAACGATAATAAAATTTCAGGTTAATTTTGCAGTTTTCGTTTCTTTTTGTTTTTCTTTGGTAATATTTTAAATTCTGAAATGAAAAAGGTCAGTAATCTGTGATTGTATTTTCCAAATGAACAGTTCAAACAAAACGACCCATCTGCCCTTATACACATTGGCTATTACGACGCGGGCTGCTACGGCGGTGACCCTGAATTGCAGGCTCTTCTCTATTGGCTGTGCGCCTCTTACACCAACCAATCACAATTCGTTTATTTCACACATGGGGTCTCGAACATTTCCAGGGTTGGAATTGTTTTTTTTAATAATATTTTTTATTAGAGATTATGAAAATTAAATATATTAAACTATTTTTTAATAAAAATGTTTTTGATTTTTAATTTTAAAAAATACTTTAGATGAAAGTACTTGTGGAGACGGTCTTGAAATCTGACTGGTCGGTGGGTGTGCTCCTATCAGAGCTTTTGCTATGGTGCTCCAAAAAAGTTGACCAATTAGATCGAAGAGAAAGAATCGCTCGTCATGATAATGATTCTGCCGATGATGATGTTGTTGATGATGAGGATGAGAGTTTATTCGATTTTTTGCTTAACGGACGATTAAAAGGTCGTTTGTGACGATTGTGATGACGACCAGGACTTTGAATATCATGATTCACTTCGTATTTCATTGTGGCTATTGTCTTTTCAAGTTTGTGTGCGTGCGTGCTTGCGTGTGTGTGTATTTATGTGTGTATGCATGCGTGTTTTTATGCGTGCGTGTGTTTGTCTTTTCGCGTTTTTCAATATTTTTTTTATACACTAGGAAATTTTATCAAAATGAAAAAGTATCCATTTGTCCGTGTACAGTTGTTGGTCACCTTTTTTTACCTGTTCTAATAAACTATTCATTTGTTTATTGTTTTTATTATTTTTGTTTTTATTATTTTATTTTATTTACTAATTTTTCGTTTTGTTAGGGTTCATGTGTTATTCATTAAGTTTTCCTTATTGCTTTGCCAAAAGATGTCTCCTGTATTTTTTTCAAAACATTTTTTTGTATAGTTTATACATCCTCAGCAGTTAGGATTGAAAACGTCGGTGTAATGAGTGAATGAATGACTGAGTGAATGAATGATTGAGTGACTGAATGGATGAGTGAATGACTGAATGAGCACGGGAATGAACAACTGAATTAATGAACGAATACAAGTAAAGGAATGAAGATTCAGTCATCGTTTGACCGGTTGGTTGATTGGCTCTGTTGTTACTCGCTGCTATGTGATCATTTGTTAGATGGAAAAATTGATCCAAAATGAATTTATTTGGCAATTATTTTCCAGATATACCGTTAATAAACGATAATTAAAAATTTAATTGTACTTAATTATAATAATAATTAACTTTAAAGAATCGTCTAATACAGGGGTGGGCAAACTACGGGCGGCCCTTCAAAGGTAAAGTATTTCTCAATGCGGCCCTCACAGCAAAAAGTTGTACTTAATTATAATAATAATTAACTTTAAAGAATCGTCTAATACAGGGGTGGGCAAACTACGGGCGGCCCTTCTAAGGTAAAGTATTTCTCAATGCGGCCCTCACAGCAAAAAGTTTGCCCACCCCTGATCTAACACAAGGGAGCCATCATTGCCGATATGATAACGCAGAAAGCTACGTAACTTTAAATTTAACGTACCAAAAATATGGCAAAATGATTTTTGCGGTTGTAGTTAATGTAGCTGCTACAGTTTTTACTGTTGTTGAAGCTGCTGCCATAGCTACAACATCTGCTATTGGTAGAGCTGACGCTACTGCTACTACAACAGCCGTTACATTGAGAGTATTTTCAAAGTGGCTACGTATTTTTGCGGTATTTTGATTCTTATATTTTTATAATATTGCATTAATTGTTATTAAGTACTATAAAATGTATGTTGTAAGTTTATGCGTGTATGTGTGCGTGTATGTGTGCGTGTATGTGTGCGTGTGTATGTGTGTTTGCGCGTGTATATGTTTATGGAGAATTTCAAAAACGATGTTTTATTGTTTAGCCTGGTTATGTATGTTTGTGTGTGTGTTTATGTTATGTATTATTATTGGTATTATCGGTGTTATTAGGCATATATGGTGTGTTTGTGTCTGTTTGTTTGTGTGTGTGTGTGTAAATATGTGTGTTTGTATTTGTGTGTTTATGTATGTTTGTGTGTGTGAGTATGTATGTCTGTGTGTTCGTGTGTGTGTGTGTACGAGCTGTTTGTACCATTCACAACGATCTATGTAATAATTAATTTTATCATCATTAGCAATGACTACATGGTGTAATAATAATTTTTAAAGCAATGCTGTTTACATTAATAATAATAATTAATAATAATAATTAATTATAACAATAGTATTTTAATATTTATTGTTATTATAGCAATAATAAAAATTGATGATGAAGATGAACAAAGCGATTGAAATTCAATTGTGCAAATTGTTACACTTGGTCCATATGTAACTATTTCATGGATTTGGTCACAAAATAAATAAATATATATATTGATTGGATGATTCATTTAATGACTGATTGATAGGATGACTGATTGATTGAATGATTGACTTATTAATTGATTGAATGGTTGTTTGTGTGCGTGTGTGTGTGAGTTTGATAAATGTTATAATTATTATTGTGATTATGTATTATGATACTATTTTTTTTGTTCATTCCTGTTATAAAATACTACTGAAATTTTAATTGTTTATTGAATAAAATTAATTGATTGATTGATTGGTTAATTAATTAATCAATCAGTCACTCAATTCAATCATTCATTCAATCAGTCATTCATTCAATAAGTCGATCAATCAATCATTCAATCAGTCATTCAATCAATCAATCATTCAATCAGTTAATCAGCCAGTCAAATAATAAATCAATCAGTCAATTATTTAATCAATCTTTCAATCAGCCAGTCAATCAGTCTGTCAACCAATCTACCATTCAATCAATTATTTTTCAGGCTCTACTTTAGTTTTAGTCTGTGAGTCGTAATGCGTATGTCTGCTTATTTTCGTTTTTGTTGTAAAATGTAAAAATTTACAAATTGTTGTTATGAACAAAAAATAAACTGCTGATGCTAATCCTAGTATTACCACTACTACCACTACTACTACTACTGCTGCTGTTGCTGCTACAACAACAACAACTACTACTTCTACAGCTGCTACTACTACTACTACTACTACTACTAATGAAAATCCTTTTCAGCGTTTGTTAACTTCCCGTTTAATTTTTCAAAATGCTCAACTGTTCTATCATGATTGAAATCGCTAAAAATTTTAGCCCTGAACTCAAGAAACTTGGCTGTGGTTCACGATCTACCGTTAGAAAAATTGAAAAATTAAACATGAAGCCAACCAATAAGGAAACTGCTGTGATTTTTATCAATAATTGCATACATATATATTCATGTATACTTTATATATATATATATACATATATATATATATATATATACATATATATACACACACACACGCAACAATGGTTATAATTGTGGAATAATGCAATGAGTTACATTAACAATAAATTTATTGCTATGGTTGTTGTTGTTGTTATTGTTGTAATAATCGTTTTGATTTTGTTGTTGATTTTATATTCGTTCATTCTCATTCAAATACAATTTCAAAACGTGATGCCTATTGGTTGGTTGTGTTTTGGTTTATACACACACACACACACACACACACACACACACACACACAATTTCACACTATTTCTCTATCAAACATGCACACCAATTAACACATATAATTGTGTGTTGTGTGTGTGCGTGTCTGTTGTGTGTGTGCGTGTGCGTATGTGCGTAAAACCAGTTGATATAATTGACACACTATGAGGAAGGAGTATTTTCGAAACTATAGGCACCTTAGGCCTAGGCTGAACAATAATAAAACAATGAACAGCTTGCTTGCTTCATTCATCAAATCTATCGAATCTAGCCATGTTACTTAAAACTTCATCATTAATAGAGGACGCAATTTTAAGAAATCAAACACTTTCATATCCATTTTTAATGAGAATGTGATCAATATATGGTGTAAAACTCTACATCTTTTGCAAGAATAATCTGATAATAATCGTTGAATAGTTTCAAATAGTTTAACTAGTACTGCCAATACCAGTATGTCTTATGCAATGCTAAGAGAGTTTATTTAAATCTCAATTCCACTCCGGACTACGAGTCAGCTTAACAGCTACCAGACTGACATTTCATTTATTCTATTTTCTTTATAACAAATAAACAACTTTGGTTTAAAGTTAACCTAAGCATTATATCTTACTTATAGGACGAACAAAATCATCTTAACATGATTATAATAGCATAATCCAGATTTGTTACATTTGATTTTTATAAGTTACTTAGTTGAAATTCACATTGTTTCCTTAAATAAATGTTCTTTTAAACTTCAGAACATTCAATAAAAAAATATCCTTTTCAATGTTTTTCGATTTAAAAACTCTCGAAAGCTTTATTTCATAGTAAAAGCCATAGAGCGGATCTAGACAACTTTGACGGGGAGCCGAACATTGAAAATGTTGGAAATTTTAAATTTGACGGAGAGGCATGAAAATAACTAACCCTCCTCCCATGAAGTTATGGTTGTATGTAAATTTTGCACTCAATTTGTAGAAAAAAACATTTTTAGTAGGAAAAAGTTTTTCCAAAAATAGTTAAACGGATGTCTGAGATTTATTAGTAAAATATGATAGCTGGTTCAATTAACTATGAGAAAACGCTTTCACTTGCATGAAGTCCTGGTTGAAAGTTTTTTGATCGATTTATAAAAGTATTTTTCGATATTTTGTTAGTGTGTAAAATATGGTCTCTTTCTAGATGTATATATATATGTATGTGTGTGTGTTTGTTTGTGAGTGTGTTTGTACATGCGCATGCGTGTGTGTATGTATTTTAAACTAATTTACAATATTTAATTAACACAATGTGGGGAAAGTGTATTTTCCGTGCTCTAGGCAAAACAATGAGAATGCGATTGATAGCTATGTGACTAAAACTTATTTAGAAAACCATTTATGTAGATGAATGTGCATTTTGTGGAATCGGATACTACTATGTTAAATGTTTGATGACAAAAACGATGTAAAAGTTCACAGTCTCTTTTACATGTATATAATAATCCATTATGGTTGAATAGTCTCAAACGGTCTTACTATTACTATAACATAAGTAATATATGTGATACTACTAATAATAGCACTATTCTTAATTCTAGTGTTGGTGGCGTATGTGAACGGTGTTGTGATAGATCATCTGGATTTGTTAGCAGCTCCTTTGCTAGGTTTAAAATCCTTTTAAGTCTGAAGGAAATATGAAAAATTATTATATGATTGACACTTTTCAATAAATAAAAAAAAACAAGTATTTAAACCGGTTAATTGTTTTGATTGATAGGAGAGAATAAAATAAAATGGCCAACCCTAGAAGCAGCTATGCTCTACCTGACGAACTAAAAGACAACAACATAAACAACAACATAAACAACAACAACAATAGCAACAGTAATCACAACAACAACTACGACACAGGAGGCTACGACAACACAGAAAACTACAACTACGCCACGAATTACTTATATATTACAGCACAAAATGTAAACCAAAGCAACCCAGACCCAATTTTAGATCAAGCCGACACTAATAAAACACCATATTATTTGTCTTTAATTCAAAATGATGAAGCTAAACCTAGCGCTACCAACTCTGACGACACTAGAATTAAATCCTGCTACTCAGACCTGTATTTTAGCAATGGCAGTACGGACAACCCCAACAACGGCAATAGTAGCCCCTCTGGTGATGTCATCATCAATGATAATAGAGTCTATGAGGAAGTCTCTAATGACTACAGACATTTAAACAGGGCTCTTCCTGCACTGCCTGGTAAATTTATAAAAAATTGTCAACAGCCTTTTTGAAAACTTAATTAATTATTCAAATATCAAATTAATTATTTAAAGTTATAATTAAATACAAATAATTAAATAATGTTCTTTTTTTAGTTTCGGAGATATATGACAAGCCATCTAGGAGAATCTTTTGTAGCAGCAAAAACCTGAAAATTGGTCTACCTTTTTTGTTGCTAGCCGTAGGGATAATTGCAATTGTCGTTGGAGTTTATTATGGGGTGGTCAATAAGAGTAAGAATTTTGGAGATAATTATTACTTAAATTATTTTTTATTCTGTAATATTATTTATGGAATTAGGATGATTATAATTTAATGCATTTGCCGTTTCTGGCTCTCTTCTCTGAAACACTCTACCTTTTAGAGCGTAATCGATCGATTGATTGATTTATTTATTTGTAAATTAAGAATTAATTAATTAATTTAAATATATATAAATAATTGATATATTTGTTTCGCTTGGCATTTATTTGAAAAATATTCAATTATATAACGCCATCCTATATTTGACAAATCCTAATTCACCAGCTAAATCTACGCCGGATAAAAGTTGTAAGTAAAACTTTTTTCCTCATTTCGGTGGTTTATTATCTTTGAGATGAAGTTTTCATATTAAGTTGAATTTAAATTTAATAATTAATTTTAAATCTCGTAAAAGTAAATATTAAGAAATTGTACAAATTGACAATAATATAAATTAGAAAAAAAAACATTTTTAATTCAAGATCTTATAGGGGCATTATATATTTCAAGAAACCAAGATATGCCTACAAATTTTACGAAGAGTTTAACAAATTATGTTAGTGATCAAACCAAGCAAATGCTTGAACACAAATACACACATACAACACACATAAACACACACAAATACACACACACACAACCAACCACACACAGATGGATAACTGTGTTCAAAACAATAGCGTTTATAGAGACCTGAACATCCGATCGTCCATTTCAACATACACTAAAGGCTTTCAGTGAGTCTAACACTTTGATTTATAACCTTTAAATGTATAACGTCTTTATCAGTGTGCTCTTTGCTTCAATAATTTTTTCGAGATATTTCGTCTTGATAGAAAGGATTGATTTGATAACACAAGTGAAAGCCGTGTATTATACTTTTTAAAGTTCTGTTTTATTCAATTCCCTTCGATTCTAAGTCAGAGCTATCAAACACACACACACACACACACACACACACACATACACACACACACACACACAATACACACACACATCTCGTAAGAATCCACGCATCTCACAAACATTGACTGTGAATCTGATAGCAGCGATTCTTTTTGCATATTCGTCTTAACCATCACACCGATCAAACCTAATTCATTATACTACGCTTTCCGCTCTATATTCTGCGTTTTCAACTAATACGGCAGAAATATTCATGTTCGTGCCAAAAGTATCAGCGAAAACTTTGAATTAAACTTATTTGGATATCTTCAATATCAGTTATCAAATGAAATGAATTCATCCAACAGATCGGCAGCTACTACAGTTTATTTCTTCCTTACCATTAACAACGGGGAAACTGACCTCTACAGACTGTACTACTGGATCTCAACCAAATGCTCCAGCGATTCTTACGGCCAAATAAAATGCTTGGACATAACAACGTGGGAACTCATGAACACAGCTGACCCAAGGACGTTGAAGTGCGCGGAACCAACCGAAACCTAGCCTCACTAGCCACGCCAAACTACTAACCAGCTTAACGGCTACCAGACTGACATTTTATTTATTTTATTTTCTTTATAACAATTAAAAAGCTGTATTTTTCAGATAAGATTAACAAAATTATCTCTATATGATTATAATAGCATAATCCTGATTTAATATTAAGAAATAGCTTATCCATGAAAATATATATATATATTGTCAGAATTATGAAATAATACTGACTAAAAAAAACACTTCAAAGTTTTTCAACGCAAAATTTATTCACTCGATAGGGGTCATGGTGCAAGTTAATTTACTCGATAGGTGACGACGATTTTTTTTTGTTTTGCAATTTAGATGACGTCATAAATTATTACAAATTATTTTAAAATGTAATTAGTAGTTTTTTTTATTAATTGGACATACCTTGGAAATTTTAATGTTTTAAAAACACCCGAAACAAAATCTAATTTTGCTTTGATAAGGAAGGGTGTGGAAGTAAAGACTGGGTTGACTGGTTAGGCAGCTTCGAATAATCGGTGACTATTCTCGTCCCTAAGAGACTTAATGCGTGATTCTAGGCTCATTGGCATAGTTTCAGAAACGTCTTAAGTTCTCAAAAGTGGATTTGGTACGAGACTTTATGCTCATTGGCATAGTTTCGCACGCGTACTAAAGTCGCACAATTTGTTTCCAGTGTTGTTCTGACTCTTGTTGTTTTGTGTTGGTTGTGCGAAAGCCGACCAGACTCGACGGCCCAGTGAAAACAGGCCTTGGATTCTGTGAAAACGAATCCGCCTCGTTGTTCTGTTTCTTGTGCTATTTGTGGACCTAGGGTTCTTTGCTGGATTCTATACTCATTGGTATAGTTTCACGCGCAGCTTGCTATTTCCATAGGCTCCGATTTTTGTGATTTTTCCGCATTCATTTCATTTATTTCTTGGAGTTGTATCGACATCACCATCGGTTACACACGTCGAGGTTGTACGATTAAACGGCAAGAAACATATCCCAAGTCGAAGACCCAACAAGAAGAAGTTCTAATTCCTGTATTCCAGTTTGTTCATTGACATTTTACATTGTTATAGAGTTCATTAGTTCAATTCCTTTTTATTTACTTCCGTCGATTAATAAAATTGTTATCGAATATTTTTTTACGCGTTCGTGTGTTACTCAGTAAAATCATATAATTCGAAAAAAACCAGTGCCACACAGGACTGGTCGAACTCACGATAAAAATATACACAAAAATTATTGTCGGACCATGAAAAAATTCCCTGAGAAAGATAGAGGAGGAGATTACCTCACATCAGTTGTTTTCATCATTTATTAAAATTTCCGACAATTGGCGCCCAACGTGGGGCTTTGTCATCATTTAAAAATCTCCTTATCATTTATTAAAATTTCCGACAATATATATATATATATATATATATATATATATATATATCCATGAGCTTAGCTGATGTTCACATTGTACCATTCAACTTTTTTGAACCTTTCGTTACCTATCTCTACTTTTAAGTTTTGGAACATTCTATCACAATAAAATGTACTTTCAATTTTTTCCGATTTAAAATCTTTTGAAAACTTGATTTCTTTCATTGTTTATAATTTATATTAAGGCCATATACTTTGAATAATATGTAGAATAGAAACCATCAATGTAAAACCATACAGAATAGTAGGTACATTTCAAAACTAATGAAACTTTAATACAAGAATAGAGCTATTACATTTGAACTAAGGCTTTAACCGAAAAAGATATAACAATGAATAAACGATGTTAATGTTTTTAATAAAGTTAATAACAAAAGGTACACGATAGGACTAACTAACCAACCAGCATGAACACCATGAACTTTACTCTCGCGCAAGGCTTAGACTTATTTTTCACGTTGGTCTGCATAGATGTATTGAGATCTCTATGTTTTCTGATCTTATTTGGTTTTTTCCGGACTAAGCTGTTTTGATTTATTAGAAATAACGATTGTCTAGACCTAAAAAATATACAAGTTGATAAATTACACCGAATCTGCATTTCATTTTTTGAGTTACCAACAATACATTATATTTGAATTCATCCAGCATCTCAATCATTCTCTTCATATTTTTCTCATCAAATCAATCAATCAATCAATTAGTTTATAAAGCGCTATTCCCGCAATGTTCAACAGCGCTCTTCAATTAATTTAGCAAACAGATGAGTCTTGAGATCCGCTCTAAACTTCGTAAGAGATAGAGAAGTAGTCAGAGAAAAAGGTAGAAAGTTCCACAGAAAACAGCCAGAAAAAGCAAATTTAGATTTAGAAAAAGAGTGTTTAAGAAGTGAGAGCAAGAAGACGATTGCAGGCATACATCTCAATTCAATTGCTCTTAAATCATTCTCCAATTTTAGACTTATATTTCATCCAGTATCTCAATCATTCTCTTCATACTCTTCTCATCGAACAGACATCTCAATCTCTCTCAAATCTTTCTCAAATTTTAGAATTCACTTATATGGAGTAATAATTTTTGGAGACGAGCTTTGTTAAATGATGCTTTCGCACATAGAAAATTGAGCGATTTGTTAATTAAATTGAATTTAGAGAGTGAAAAAACTATATTTTTCAAAAGCACTTGAAGAAACTGCATTTGAAATAAGTCCAAAGGCAGGTAAATAAAATCACATACATTGTCATTACATACATTAAATAATCTATGAGAAGTTTTTTGCCATCTTCACAAACGGTTCTTCCAACGCTCGTGATTGAATGAAATGTAGAAAATAGCAGAGATTAGCGGCGTTTTATTGAAGAATATCACATCGAAATATTCAAAAATTTTTGCCTGATTAGAAATTAAGTAGCTCGGAATGGAGTGGTTGCAGTATTCAAGTGACTATGAACATTACTGTCCTAACTGTGATGAACATTTCTCCTCCTATCAGGTTGGTCAAGTCCAGCTTTTATCATTGTTTTTATTTATTTTTTTGGATTAGGCACTCTTGTTCATAAATAAAGAAACATTCCTATTCTAAAATAACATTAATAATTTAATATCAATTAATTATGTATGTTATTTAAGTTAATGAGCCAAAATCAAAAATAACAAATGTGATGACTACTAGAGAACATTTTTAAAAGATAAATAATCTATAATTATTATAATGAATATTTTTTTTAAAGTTTTTTCTAGTGTATATATATTACCAGTCTAGTCTATACTGATACTCCATAGTGTTTTTATTCAAGATTTTTAACTTTGTGAATGCTATTTTATTTAAAACATTTTTTGTTTATTAAATTTATTCAGGAGTTTTCAAAGCATATAGTCAGCATCCGACATCTACAGCTGCTTTCTCGATTTATAGCTGTATGCAAATTTTATTTTTTTAAGTTTTCTTAATGTAACTCATTTAAATAATAACTCTCCACTAATAAGAATAAATTATGTTAATGATGGTATGGCCGTTTTGACGATAACCGTTTGATTGACATGTTTAGATACTAACCACAAAAAATATCACACCATGCTTAATCTAGAAAAAACCAGGCTCCAGTGAACAACCTAGCTACATAGATGACAACAATAACAGTGATGACAACCTTAAGGGCAGTGACCTCTATGATCCCATATCCTCGAGTGTCATTCCCCAATCAATTATTCCAACCATTGGTGGTTACACAGCAGCTGTCAAGAGGCCCATGAATGGTGCAGAGGTGCATGCAACTAAAGTAAGGAAGTTGAATGATATGCTGAGAAAATTAGAAGATGAAGGGTCCAGGTATGATAGGGCTTCTCCACCCCCTAAGTTACCCTCTGGTTTTGTGGGGCCTTCAGATTATGATGAGTTATCTCTCCGAAGTAAATTGTCAACTTTATTCGATGTGGGCTCCTCAGATATTTGTTAGATTTTATTTTTTCTTAATTTTTTGTTCGTCATCAGTTTTTGAATCCAACTTAATTATCCATACATTCATTCATTCATACATTTGTTCGTTCATTCATTCATTTATTCATTCATTCATTCATTTATCTATTCATTCATTCAGCCATCCTTTTATCAATTCATCCATTCATTCCTTCATCCATTCATTCATATATCCATCCATCCATCCACATCTAACAGTGACTGATAAAGACATTTTCAGTGGACAGAGCAGCAAAAAAATTGACCAAATAATGGCCGAATCATTCATAAACAGTCGCAAGCTTGCCCAGCACATCAGAGATATGAAGAGTAAGCATCACAGAGATAATAGAGGATATATCAGGGATACTCTGGAGATATCCATCAATCATAAGTTATCCTCCTCCCACCACCATTCCCCATCTCCTTCCTCTTCCTCGAGGATAGTCGAATCGGCCAGGGACGAAAGAAAATCTCAAAGATTACACGATAGCGCTATCAGCAGTGCTTTTAGAAGTAGTTTAAAAGCGAAGTTAGATTCCTACAGTAATGGAAGGTATAGTAACATTACTAGCAGTAGTAACAACGGTAGTAGCGGTGGTGGCAATTATCTTAGTAGGTATTTAGATGAAGATTATGGGGCAGATGATGAAAGTACTTATGCTAGCAACGTCATCAGCAGTAATTGTAGATCTGTATATAGTAATCTCGACTGTGACTACCGCGATTACGTAAAGGGTAAGATCAATAGCCTTGGTGCTAAGATGACCGATAGAGAATACGGTACCAGCTGCAAAGAACGTAGTACCATTAGGGAATATAGCATTCGTAAAAGTACCAGTAAAGAATATGGAGTAGAGAGAAAGAGGGGCGAAACTAGTTCTATCCCAAATTTGATGGATATCGATGTTTCCAGTGTGGGAGATCTTGACGGTGGCAAGGATTATTTCGGTAGGCCCCACGGCAGAGGGGGGTCACCAGCATCGACCTCGTCATCGTTATCTCGTACGTCATCGTCCAGGAAGTTGATGACGAACAAGATGAAGATTGTTCTGGAGGACGTTGACCTCAGGCACAAATTAAGGAAATATGTTGCCGGTAAAGGTCTGCTGGTTTTAAATAATTTATATTGGATTTTTAGGCTTTTAACATTTTTTTCATGCTTCGACTGATTTATTTGTATTAGTTTATTTGATTTTAAGTTTTTCCTTTATCCCATTGTTGTTAACATTTTTTTTTTTCCGTTTTTTTATCCGATGTGATATCTTCTAGAGAGCAAGTCTGCCCTACCAATCACAAAACCCATGAACCAGTCTGACTTCTCGTCGTACTCATCATCATGCCACACCTCTCAGAAGAGGGAGTCAACAAGTGCCACTAGAACTAATAAACATTCAAAGGACATCAAACCACTCATTAAAAATTTTCCAGTAGCTAAAAACACGCCACATGATGATACTGACCATTTTTCACCTGCTACTAAAAAGAACAGTTTCTCGAGACCAGAGTCTTCTACATTATTTTTGGATAAAAAATCTTCGATCACCAGCAAGAGTGATAGTGCTGCCAGAAAATTTAGCAGCAGCCGCAGCAGCAAGATTTGTCTACCATCACCCAATCCCAGCCTGGATGACATGAAAGTTAAACATTCACTACAACAATCGTATCAGTTTGAAAAAGCAAGATTCCCTTTACTCCCAACTCCCATTTCAAATCCCATACCAAGCCCTATCGTGGAAACTACCGATAGTAGATACCACAGGCAACCGTTGCTGAACAAGCCGTTGCTAGGCTGTCTACCGGTTAGGCCGTTGATGGATTTTGTGGAGATGCCAGTAAAGGCTTTCCACGCGTCTCCGCTGTTACCCCTTCCACCCCCTCCTCAGCCACTTCTCGGAAGTCCCTATGGTAACTTTCCACCAGCACCACCACCGCCGTCGTCGTCCTACACCAAGCCAATCCGGCACCCACCATCGTCATCGTTTGCTAAAAAGGCATCATCGTCATTTAGTAGGAAGAAGACATCCTCATCTTCAAAACCTCCAACCTCCTCATTAACGACATCATCAACGTCATCAGCGTCGAAAGCAACAGCAGTGGCCACAACAGCCACAACAACGTCGGCGTCTAAAACATTGGATGCAAAGATGTGTTTGGAGGAGGAGAATAAAACTGCCACTCCGAATAAAAATGAAACAGCAGATGGCATCAGCAGCATTAACGACAGCAATGACATTAATAAGGTGAATGATAACAGCTCAGCAACGTCAAAAACGACGAAATCTGCCGGTGACCTCGAGCAGAGGTCAAATTCCAGGGTCAGATCAGATCTGGTAAAACCAATGTCAAGGATGAAGAAAATGCTTGAAGGTTCTCCATCTGATTTGACACTGGACTCGTTGACCACTGATAAGGTAGTTAGTCAGTTGGCCAGTGTTTTGAATTCTTTTGCTGGTTGTGTTTGCATGTGTGTGTGTGTGTCTGTCTGTGTGTGTGTGTGTTGTTTGTTTGAATATGTATGTTTGTGTTTATCTCTGTGATTTTATTGGAGGAATGATTAGACTATTAAACGAACTCAAGAGGCAGACGAATGAATGAATGGGTCAATAAATTATGATAATGAATAGATCAATAAATTATAATAATTAATTAACCTTCCAAAGGTCAAGGACATGGGGGTCACTGAAATGATGATCGTCTTCAAGAATCTACTGAGTAAGATGGTCAGTGATATGATCAATGAAGAAACTCTGAAGTCTAAGGTTGTTGCTTTTGTTGCAGTTGTTGTTTTTGTTGCTGTTGACATGCATTTTCGATGTTGTAACTGTGTTGGTAACATAGCAACGAAAACAAAATCAATTAAATTTATAACAATAAACATCACGTAAGGTACACATCAACCAAATCCTTCTGGAGAGTTTAAACCAGAAGCACGAACTGATGCCAGACTCATTAAGGTACTTCACAGACAAACATCCGAAGAAGGTTTCCAACTTCCTGTCGATCCTTCGTTTCCTCGATCCGGATATCCTGCTGGGACTCAACCTGCTACTAAAGAAAGAACTCGGTGATAATGATGAAGACGACGACGACAAGGATGTTGATGGGGGTGACTGCCGTGTCGATATGGATTGTAAAAACGTTAGTAGTGGTAGCTGCGGTAATGCTAGTGGTGGTTCCAGTAAGATCAAAAACCGCAGCTGCAGCAAGAGTAGTAACTGCAGTGACGGCAAAAAGCCAAACGAATCAATGGCAAACTCCAATGAGTCCATGATCAAGCATATATTATTTGATGAGGATGACCAACTTGACCACCCCTCTAAATCAAGTGGACCTCTCCTTCCTACGCCCTCCAAATCCGGGCTGCTACCATTACCGTCTTGGAAAAAATTTTAATAGTAGGGGAGTGGGTACTCCCTAACTGATAGCTTTTGAAAAGGTGGTGTTTAAAAATTGACGTGTGATTGGTTGCAAATTTATTGATGTGCTATTGGAGAATAAAAGGATGTCTGAGCTCTGATTGGATGGGAAAGAATTGCTTGAAACGTGACTGTACGAAACATTTAATGAATAGAATAAATATTTGTCACCGGTTAATTAAATTAAATGACGTCACAATTGCTGTTTATGTCTGTTTATAATAATAATTACTATCACAAAATGGTTGACTAATTGTTTCCTCTGTTTTTTTATTATTCAATTAATAATTTATATTAATAATTATTAATAATAATAATAATTATTATTATTATTATTTATTTATCATTGATGTAAGGATTGTTATTTGAGTTTATTACAGCATAACTTAACAAAGTTTAAAGTGGTTCGGTGCGCTGGCGTCTGTGTAAGAAGAACCACCAAACACAACCGAAGAATAAGTAAATTGACGTATGAATGCTTTCAACTGAATGTGTGTATTATTATTTTCGTAATATCTTTCAAATAATGAATGTGTTGTTGATGTTGTTGTTTGTTGTTGTTGTAGGCGTGTGTTTAAACGAGTAAATGTTGTTAAAATGATGATTTTAAAGGGTTGAAATTATAAATAAATTGGTGAATAATATTTGGATGTTATAAAGTTATATGATATAATATAACTTCAAAGTTAAATGTGTTTTGTCTGCATGTGTTTATGTATTTAGCTCTTCATCATTAAGGATAATATTGTTATTATCATTGTAATATTAATAATATTATTATTATTTATACAAATTGTTTTTGAATGCTTCTGGTGATACATACTGTTCTCTTTGTGTTGCGTTTTTATGGCTATCATCCCTGAAATGAATAGAATCAGTTGATTCACCGTGTGTTCGTTAGGCCACACCAAACACTACGTGGATGTAAAAAAAAACAGTGTATATGTACAATTTATAGGTTGGGAGTACCTATTTGCACATGTTCGGAAGTGTGATCCTCTTCGCTCTCTTGTCTTTTTGATTTGATATAAATTTCGAGTAAGGTTTTTCCTAATTTTAATTCATTAAGCCAAAAAGTTGTTCTACGAGATAGGCTCTCATAAACTGTCTTCGATATCTTACAAGCGTTTTTTATCTTTCCAGTAGTTATACTGGAAAGATTGGAGGGAAAAGAGATCGCGGTTAACAACGAGTAACATTATTGAAGTCCTGTCACTTGTTGAATATCACCACATTTCAACTACTACAGAGTGTTGAAGATCGGGTTTTGTGGAGGGCGATGGTCGCCAATGTCCTGAAGGGATAAGGCACGAGAAAGAAGTTTTTTATTTGCAGCAGCTACCTTAGGTATATATCAAACAATTACGTTGGTTTTCATTAAACCATTAGCGGTTCTAAAAATAATTGATTAACTAATTAAGATAAAAATCTTTATTTTTCAAAATAATTGACACAAATAGACTCAACCCATATTTAACAAATATAAATTAATTAAACTTTCTCATCAACATGCCCAGAAGACAATGCAGCTTGAAATCTTTGTCAATGCGTAATGAACATCCACACAAGTATTTGGTAAAGTGTGTATGTGTATATGTATATATATGTATGTGTGTATTTCGGCCTTTGTATGTGTGTGTGTGTGTGTGTGTGTGTGTGTGTGTGTACAACAGTAATAGTTAATATTTAAGAAATACCATATAAAAATACAAATTTAAAGCTTGTGAAGGTACACATAATGTATACAAAAAAAACATACAGTTATGTTTACAGGAATTGACATCTGAAAATCCCTGTATATATCATATAGGCAATAGTATAAATACATACATATATATTATTCCTTATGCGTTATATATGTGCGTGTGTGTGTGTTTGTGCGTGTGTGTGTGTTTGTGCGTGTGTGTGTTTGTATGTGTGTGTGTTTGTGCGTGTGTGTGTGCTTTATTAGCATTAGATACATCCACACCAGTATTTGGAAATGTGAGTATGTGTGTGTCTGTGTGTGTGTGTGTGTCGGTGTGTTACAAAAGGGGTGGGAAAACTAGAACTCGAAAAAATTGCTATTTAAGTACATATGCGGCCCTTCAAAGGTGAAATAGTTCTCAATGCGGCCCTCACGGCAAAAAGTTTGCCCATCCCTGTTTTAGAAAATAAATACAGACATCAACAAATAAATTTTCTGCTACTAAACTGATTAGTTATTTCAACGAATCACATCGAAAATCTTTTTCAAAATTGTTTGAAATAGTCAGTCATATGGATAATTAACTGTCAATTATTAAAAAAAACATAATTAATATTATTATTACAATTAATCGTAATGCAGTTAATAATTTAAAAATAATTAAAATGGGAATTAAATTTTGAGTTTTACCTCGATTCAATTACCACCATTGTTACGGCGGCGACCTTTCAATTATCTTTTCTTATTTTGTATCTTCTGGTTTAAATTTTAAAAAAACGTTGGAACCGAAAGATACTAAATAAAACAAGGTAACACCTAGGACGCCATTTTTTTCGTCTTGGTCTAAATGAAAAAAATTTTTTACAGATGCAATGGGAAACTGACTTCGTTCAACCAACTCAGTGAAGAAGAATGAATGAATGAATGAACGAATAAATGAATGAATGAATGAATGAACGAACGATCGAACGAACGAATGAAGTATACAAACAAATTTATAAAACAACTTAGAAACAAATGAATGAATAAATCAATATATAAAAATACATTTATAGATTAATAGATTTATAGATTATAGACATTTATAGATTAATAAATTTCTTTTTTAGCTAATAGTAGAGTAACAACGAAAGAGTTCATCATAGTATATTTATAAAGGGAGAACAGTTCTTCTGTCAGATTTAAATTTATAACAGACGTTAATTAAAATAAATTTTTTGGTTCGACTGGAGCATAAAATAAATTTATAAATAAATAAATGAAAAAAAACATATAAATTACAAAAAAGACTTTTTATTTATATTTATTTATTATTTATTTTCTAATTGTTATCTACAAATACAAATATTATATCATAACTATGTATGTTTGATTTATCAACATCCATATCAATAACACAATAAGATAGGCTGCAGTTCATTGTAATACAAGAGTTTTTACACACAACCACACACACACACACGCACGCACTTACACACACACACACACACTTTGAATAGATATAATATCAATTGAAGACATACACACACATATTAAATAGATATCATATCAATTGAAGACATATTTTTTAGAACCTTAAAAGCAATGGTGCATTGTATATATAACTGTTTTCTTATTGGAAAAATTGAACACATGGATTGATGAATGAATAGATAGATGAATTGATGAATAAATGAATGGATGAATAGATAGATGGATGGATGAATGGATATAGATAAATGGATATTGATGGATAGATAGATAATAGGATCAAAATAGATGAATGAACAAGTATACGAACGACAGACAAGTTTTTACGTTAAAAATTGACAATTTGGACTTCGAATCTTGAATGAATGAATGAATGTATGAATGAATAAACGACCGACCGACCGAACGAACGAACGAATGAATAAACGAACGAACGAACGAACAAACGAATGAATAAATGAATAGAAGAATGCATGAATGGATTAATGAGTGGGTAGATGAATGAATGACCAAACAGACAAACGAACAACCACACTAGTATTGCACATTCAAAATCATTCATTCCTTCATTCCTTAGACACATCCGCAAATCTGGACAGCGGGTAGAGCAGTTTGACCGGGGTGGGCGGAGTCTCTGAGCTGATACTTCCTGGCAGGTAGTACAAGCACTCGCCTGGTCGATGATGGGAAAAATATTTGCATTCATTCATTCATTCGTTCGTTCGTTCGTTCGTTCGTTCGTACGTTCGTTCATTCATTCATTCGTTCATTCATTCGTTCGTTCATTCATTTATTCGTTCATTCATTATCATTAATAATCATTCATTCGTTCATTTGTTCTTTCATTTGTTCGTTCGTTCATTTATTCATTCATCCATCCATCCATCCATCCATACATTCATTCATCAACTCATTCATTCATCCATCAATTTATTCATTCATTCATTCATCAATAATTTTACGCCACAAAAAAACACCATCCCAACCTAATTTCGACCTACGGACAGCATCCTCGATGAATTCAACGATGGAAGTGGAAGCGCCGTGGCCGACGACAGCCACAGCCGACGATTGCGAGAGTGTGGCGCCTGCGTTCTCACTTGTGGTCGAGCCAGATTTCATGCGCTGTGTGTAAAAACTGAAGACGCCTGTGAAGAAGTGAATGGATGAATGAATGTATGAAAGAATGGGTGAATTAATAGATGATTGATAAACCCTAACCACCCAAAAATGAATGTATGAATGAATGAATGAATTAATTAATGGATGAATTAATGGATGATTGATTAACCCTAACCACCCAGAATGAGTGTATGAATGAATGTATGAATAAATGAATGAATGAATGAAGGAATTGATAAATGAATGAATGAATAAATGAGTTAATTAAAAAATTAATGAAATAATGAATTATTGGATGAATTAACGAATGATTGATTAACCATAACCGCCTATCATCACATTCAAACAACACGAACGAAACCTACCACTATGATGTTCAATGCGGGTATGATGGGTCCTTCCCTCCGATCTGAAGGAGACACTTAGGATGTACCTCTCATCAGAACTGTCCCTGACCAAGAACCAACCGTCCGGAGACTTTGAAAGTTTCACCTCTGCCTCTTCGAAGTTCAGACTCCCCCAGTACCATTCTTTCTGTGTTGGGTGGTGGGGAAGGTTTTTTGTAATGTCTCGCTTGTTGTTTGATGGTTTGTTTGTTCGTTCGTTTGTTTGTTTTATCTATCAGTTTATTTATACACATAAACACACACACACACGTACACATACACAAACACATAGAAACACACACATACACACCCACACACATACACACATAGACAATGATGAAAAAGTTAGTAAAATAGAGCTAGACTAAGATTTAGAGAGCCAGACACCCACACATATACACATAAACTACCCATACATACATACACATACATACATACACATACACACATGCACACATAAACACACACATACACACACACACATACAGAGTGAAAAGACAGCAGAAACAAAAACAGACGTATTTGTCTTGCTCAGCGCGATCACCTTATGATTCTAATTGCAGTCCTCGCCAACAAACAAAACAAAATAAAATAAAATAAATAAATTTATTGGAATGATAATATTATTTTTTGTAAAATAAATATTTTCTCGATGTTATCACAAAACTTATCATCGTCATCATCATCATCATCGTCGTCATCAACAACATCATCATCATCATCGTCAACAATAACAACTACATAATGATTACCATCAACAACATCATCATCTTCAACAACATTATCATCATCATCAACAACAACATCAACAAAATCATTATCATCATCGTGATCCTCATTGCCATCATCATCAACATTACTATCATCATTATCATCAACATCATCATCATTACCATCAACACCATCATCATCATCAGCAACAACAGCAGTGTTTTCTTTCGGCTGATTTAGAGCACTCTAGCAGTAGAAACATCAAT